TAAAGCTTGATTAATTCAGGTCTGAAGAAGCTGTTAGTACAGCGAAAGCTAGCCAATAAAGATATTCAAACGAGTCCTCATTCTAGAAGAAGATCTCACATAAATGAGGCTCAGGGATGGCTCAATTCTGTCATACCATTAGATTTCGTTTACACTTTGATAACTCATCGTCCATGCTTTGATTCTGACATATATATGTAATCTATCTGCCCGGGCGTGACTAAAGCTTTGTTCCCTTTGAAAAATCACTATTTGTTCCAGTGGCATGCTTGATTCATTGTCAAAACCCACAATCCGTAGGGAATTTTTCGGCTTATTACAAAATTAAGGGCTAGGTTTCTGCAATAGCTGCTCGTAGGTGGAAGGAAAACTACAGTTACTCCGCTGCATTGAGCAACATCTTGGAGATCCGTGCGAAGCGTTGGAGTCCAGGGGAACTGGCATTAGCTTAGGGTTCGAAAAAGATGAAATGAGAGGAAGTAAAATGCGCAACCTTAATTGCTATAAGATTATACGTTGTGAAAAGAAAAAAGTGGAAAAACCCAGACGTGTAAACGTCGGGGAAAAAGTGCAAGGAGGAAACAAAAGTTGAGGTTTTTTGATAAAAATTGGGAAGTTCTGCTCATTAGCACTAACAATTTCAGGTCCATTCAAGACCAAGTCACTGTCTTGCAGTTAACAAACACTCTCTCGCTTATTCAACTATATCGCTGAGGCGGCTGGAAAAACAGCAGATTATACGTGTCAACTCAGTCGATATCTGCTTTCCCAAAGAAGTGAGTTCAATTTATCTCGTTCATGCTCAGCATTATCAGGTCAGTCATGAGTAATGTTGGATTTGACACCAGTATAGAAAATCTAACAATACTCTTTATAACAAAGTTCTATCAATGTTGAAACCATCACAGCTACAAACAGCTGTCATTAATCTACTCGCATGCGGCTGAGTGCTTCTCCCTTCAATTCTTCAATTTTCGACGCTAAGTGATCGGTGGTTGTTGGAGCTGTTCGTCACCACCCTAGCACTATTCCTTCAAGGAAAAGCAAGCGACCAGAGTAAGCGGTAGTCGGTAGGTGTGATATCTGTTGAAGATAGAGGGTGAGAAGAACCACAAGGCCATATTACTATGTTGTCTTCTGACTTCGTTCGCGGCGCACGGTCTTAATTTGTCGTGCAACTTCAGGAGTCTGAAGAACTCCAGGGTGGGTGAGCCAACTACAGCGTGGCAGTGTGAATGTGTGAGATCACGGTGGTCATGAGCCGCAAATAAGACGAGAAAGCACAGACGAATGCGTCAAGAGAGGCAGCTTAAAGGACCGAGTTCAAAGCAACAGTCCCAGCAGGGTTCTTTACCTTCGACACTAATGGTGTGGAACGATGCGCTAGCCCTAGTCAAGAACATAAGAAGTGTGACTGAACAAAAAACTCACCTTGGAAAGCCGCGAAAGGGAGTTGAACGCCTTCGAAGTGGGCGTGTCGGCCACCGATCGTAAGCCCCTCTTGCCAGCCGTGGAGATCGCGTGATTGGCTGCGGAGGCATTTGCGTGCATCGTGGAGTCCCTGTGGTCCAAAATCGGTCTAAAACCTTCAAAATCATAAATGAAACATACGATTTTTCTTGAAAAAACGCGTCAAAAGTTTGGAATTTTCTGTTTCTCTCATCATTGATTTCATCTCTTCAATAATTGCATCGTTTTTGTTAGTTTTAGTTTACTTATTGGGTATTATTTTTGAAGGATCTCATGTAAAAAAGAAACATTGCCTCAACAGTAAGAGAAGTTTGCGTGAATCCTCCAATGCGGAATACAAGAATTTGTTTCTCACCTGTTCAGTCTCTATGGAATCGCTCTTATCAGATTTTCTATCGTCACTAGACTCGAGCAGGCATATGGAGAACGTCATTCCACAAAAGATAGTCTCACAACAACATGGACCTTTCCTAAGAAGTTTGAGGAGTGTTGGCTTACCTCGTACCCCCAACATCCTCGACCAAGAAACGACTTTTTCGGATTTTCTTCTCAGTCGAATGAATTCTAACTGAGCCGTGCACTTCAGAGATGAGTTCGCATGTACAACAGTACAATCCACATTCCAATGAACAATACCACCGAACAATTTGATTAGTTCACAGAGTGTAGGCTTCGAGCTTAAGAGTTCAAAAAATGATCTTTCAATCGGCTCAATATCAATGAAAAACGATGCCGTCATAGAACTATTTCATCTACTTTACAGACTACTAGACTAATGTCAGTTTGAGAGCCGTTGTGCAGATAAAGAGCTCCCTGTCTTTCGACGCACCATTTTTTAAGAAATTGTTCTTTTTTTCAATATTATTTCCGAGTCTAGGAAACGATAATGCATATTGTGTTCTACACTTGATTTTTCATAAAATATGTGAATTTGAGGACACTCCGACTCTAGCTCAAAAACGAAGTTTCTAATTTTTTAATCGCTACTGTATCTTCTGCAAAAATTTTGACAACGTTATGTGAGCCCTAATGCAAAAAGCACACTCCCTCTAGAAGTCCGCGATCCACACCTCCGTTCGCGAGCCCCGCCTTTCGCCGTCAGTGCCACGCTGACGCTGCGAGGAGCACGCTGCAGTTGTGGCAGCCTTAGGACTGCGGCTCAATATCACGCTTCTCTATTCGTGGTGTGGATGGTCGTTAGGCATATTTTTAGAGAGGAATGGCGGACCAGGAAATCCTCAGAATGTAGTCGCAATATAATATAAACTGAAGTAAAAGTAAATGTTATATAAAAAGTATGTTATGAAAAAAACGAACGTTAAAGGAAAAGAAATCTCGCAGGAACTGACCATCTGCGTCCTTCTTTCTGTGACCGAAATTGAAACGAAGTTCTATGTCCGTATCGATTGCTGGCATGGAGTCAACATCTGGCACTGAAGCAACTGAAGCTAACCGTTCGCAAATTTAGTCCAAAATGCCCCGTCTCCATCAGAGGTAGAATGCGGCTGAAAGAGAGGAGAGCCGTGTTCAGGGCGTAGTCGAGAAATTCTTTTGTGTTTTTTTCTCTCGGACCACTCACCAGTCCCACCTTCATTACTGTACACTATCCCGCCACCAATTTTGTCTCAGGGCTTGCCTTTAACGCTAGGGAAAAGGAAATAAGAAGGCAGGGTTCCTCACACTCCACCCAAATCAAAGGGACCATCATAAACATAATTGGAAATTTTGACCAAGAACTCGAAAAAAGAAAAATGTGACATTGCTTACAGCTGAACCTGATGCTGTACGCAATGTCAATTTTGTCTCATGTGATGTTATAAACATAATATTATTGAAATATAGGACATGGAATGGATCCTCACCAGTGACATCGAGAGTGAGATATGCACTGCGTTGCGTAGTATAGTACTAGTTCGACCTCTTCTACTTCCACACTCCGGTCTCTTACAACGGGTTCCTGTCAAAGGTATGGCCATCAGCTTCAGCAGTCTGACATAAGTTTGTTGTTTGAAACGGGAATTTTCCTCAACTTTGGGGTTGACTTTGTCAAGATCATCTATTTTGTACTAAAATATTAGTGTACTTTGAGGTCTCTTTTTGGTTATGCTTGTTTATTCAGCGCATTAAAGGCAGCAATTACGATAGTGCAACAGTTTAGGGAAGATGTGGTGGTGCTCAATTGTACGCTCGTGAGGAAAAAAGCGGAGAAATCCGTCATAAAACGCAAAACGGGACCCCTTTTTGGCCGTTAGTTTTCACTCATGAACAGGTAACAGCTCAGAAAGCGGACGTATGAACGAGTTCATCGCAACGCGTTGCCTCTCGCATCTCGATCAGAGCGTGACCACGCCTAGTCACGC